CCCAAAGTTCCATGTTATATGTCCCGTCTATGAGCCCCCCCTCAAAGACCTCTAACAATTCTTCAGGCCCCTACATTGGGCTGCTTAGGGTAAACCCCAAACTCTGAAGTTACGGTTGGTGATATAAATCCTGCATTACTCACAATAAGGAACATACCATAGTTTAGGGTAATGCAGGATTTGTACTACCAACAGTACCGGTACATGAAACCCTAGGAAACTCTCAACCCCAAACTCTGAATAAGGAATATACCATAATTCCCATAGTTCAGGGTCCTTACGGTAATGCAGGGTTTGTATCATCAACAATGCGTTCTAGGAGGCCCACTGAGGATGAGCCGACTCGTCGAGTGGAACCGGAGAAAGCCCATGCACCCAAAAGCCTCGGTCTTCAGGGGTTTTCGGTTTAGGGTCTAGGGTTTAGAGGCTCGGGTTTAAGTGTTGCGGGGTTTCGGAAAGTTGGGGTTTAGTTCTGCAGTGCTCAGGGATTTAGGGGTCAAGTTCGGGTTTAGTGTTTTGGGGTTTAGGGGTTGAGGGGTTCGGGTTTAGGGGCCATGATTATCCTTGAAGCATCAGCCTCGGCTTTGAATCCTATAGTGGGGCACTCACCGGGTTTAGGGCTGCGATTTAGAGTTAAGCTTAGGCCTCGCATCCGGTATAGCCTAAGGCCCTGAGGGACGTTCCTGAAAGCCTTACATCCTAAACCCTGCTTAAAAGGCCCTTTAACAAAAACCCTGCCTAAATCCGAATGACAACCTATGGCCCCTACCCACAGCATTCAATCCTGTACAACGCTATCAAACCCTACGAAGAATTTTTGAAAAATTACGTAGGGCGCCCTTAACTTTCATAGCAGGTGCTTCGAGCAAAAGCCCTGCGAACAGAGAGGGCACTGCCGGGAGCCACAGCAGGAACGGTTTAGGGATCTCAATAGATATCGTAGCATCCCATAAGGTTCCCGAACACACTTCTCAACCAGGAGCCCTAATCCCTAAACCCAAAGCCAGAAACCTTAAAACCTCAACCCTATATCCCTGAAACCTAAGCCCTACTAAGCCCTAAACCCGAAGCCCTAAACCCTAATCCCTACCCTAAGGGTCCATGTACCCAAATAGTAGGTACCTCCCAAAGTACCCAAATAGGGACTACTTTAAGGCCAGAGTATCTACTATTTGGGTACATGGACCCTTAGGGCTAAGCCCTAAACCCTAAACCCTAAACCCTAAACCCTAAACCCTAAACCCTAAACGCTAGACTCTACTTCACGAGACCTCACAGCCATAGTCCAAGCCTGCAGGCCCGCTTTTTCACGGGCTTGGGGCTCTCTCTCCAGGGCCCAGCAGTCCCTAGTAGTAGAGTTAAGGGCTTTAAGGCTTAGGGTTTTAGGGTTTCGGGTTTTAGGGTTTAGGGTTTAGGGTTTTCGGGTTTATATAGGGATGAGAGATTAGAGATATTAGGGGTTTAGGGTTTAGGGTTTTAGGGTTTAGGGTTTTAGGGTTAAGGGTTTAGGAGAGTAGGTAGCCTTTCGCCTTTTCTGGCTAGTATAATCCCTATTTAACCCCAAAGGTTAACCCCTAGTGCCCCTAAGATTTCGGACAAGTGAGCTCTCCAATATAGACTAAACCCTACCTAAACCCTAGCCTAACCCTATAGAAGGCCCTTACTACCATTGATGATATAAATCCTGCCTTACCCATAACAAGGAATATACCATAATTCCCATAGTTTAGGGTTCTTTAGATAATGCCAGGATTTATACCATCAGCAGTAGTAGCCCTCATTAACCCTAAGGGTCCAAGTGCCCAAATAGTAGGGTTTCAGGGTCCAGAAACCATTCAGACTATGGATTTTGGGACCTAAAACCTTGCTATTTGGGTACTCGGACCCTCTGGGTAATAAGTCTCCAGGATTCAGAAACTCTCCTGTGGACGTAAGGGAGGCTCATTCCCAACCCTGGGGGCTTAAGATTTAAGGCTTAGGGTTGCATTGTTTGGGATTTAGGCCTGTTTTTTTTTGTCAGGTTTAGGTTTTTTTGTGTTTAGGGTTAGCTGCGCCCCCCCCCCCCCCCCCCCGCGTAAGAGCCCCGCAAGTCCTCAAAGAATCCCTTAACTAATTGTAAACACCCACGCAGCCCGCATAATTCCCTGCATGAAACGGTACCGGTACTGTTGGTAGTACAAATCCTGCATTACACTGAGGACCCTAAACTATGGGAATTATGGTACATTTCTTTTTATGGTGGGTAATGCAGGATTTATGTCCCTAAACCCTTAACCCCGACTTACCCCTAAACCCTAAACTCCCCTAAACCCAAAACCCCTAAACCCTAAAACCCTCTACACCCTAACTCCCTCTAAACCCTAAACCCCTAAACCCTAAGCCCCTATACCACCAGCCGTAGCTTCGGAGAAGTTTTCAACCAACCCCACTTGGAGGTTCATGGGTAGTTATAAGTGGAGTTATAAGTCCCCTAATCTAGGTTATAACTATAGTTACCCTACTTATAACGCTACTTATAACTACCCATGAACCTCCAAGCAGACCCACGAGACTCTGCGCCCAGGCCTGAGCTAGTACGGAAGTCCCGGCTGCAGGCCCGATTTTTCCTAAACCCCTAAGCCCCTAAACCCTTAACCCCTAAACCCTAAACCCTAAACCCTAAACCCTAAATGGGTGGGGTTTAGGGTTTAGGGTCCCTAAGGCCCCAAGGGTGTAACGGTTTAGGGTTTAGGGTTTAGGGTTTAGGGTGTTTTGGGTAGTTCTCAAAATTAGGGTCCCTTTTGGGGTCCTTGATACAAGGGCGCCGTACTATAATGGGGACCTAAAAAGGGACCCTAATTTAGAGAACTACCCAAATTATTACCAAGGTTTAGGGTTTAGGGGCCTGAATCATTACCAATGTTCAGGGTTTAGGGGCTTCAATAATTACCAATGTTTAGGGTTTGGGGTTCACGGGCTTCAATAATTACCAACTTTTTTGGGGGGCTCCTGATTAAGATTCTAGCATAAGGGGCTCCACCACCCGATTCTAATTATTGAGGCCCCTACATTACCTTCCCTTACTTGGAGGTTCATGGGCAGTTATAACTGGCGTTATAGATCCCCTAATATAGCTTATAAGTATAGTTATCCTACTTATAACCCTACTTGTAACTACCCATGAACCTCCAAGTACTTTCCCTTAAGGGCTTTTTTTTGGTGGCTTTGGCTTTGGGGCGAAGGATGTCGGCCGGTGCGTTTGGCTTTAGAAGTTTAGAGCCTTGAAGTTGTGGTTCTTGGTTCAGGGTTCAAGGTTTGGGATTTAGAGTTCTAGGGTTTAGGATTTAGGGTTTAGGGTTCAGGGTTTCGGATTTAGAGTTCTAGGGTTTGGGATTTAGGGTTTAGGGTTTAGGGTTTAGGGTTAGGGTTCAGGATTTAGAGTTCTAGGGTTTAGGATTTCAGGGTTCATGGTTTAGGGTTTAGGGTTTAGGGTTCAGGGTTTAGGATTTAGGGCTTAGGGTTTACAAGGTTTAGGGTTTAGGGTTTAGCGCCTCAGGGTTTGGGGTTTCGGGTCAAGCATTGGGACCGGGGTCCAGAGTATCGGGTTTCTGGGGTTGCTCGGCTCCTTGATGTTTTAAGGGTTTAGGGTGTAGGGGTTTAGGGGTTTAGGGTTTAGGGTTAGTTTTCACCTTCAGATGAACTACAATCAGCAGCATGATCGAACCCACTTTGCTTGCGTGCACTGCTGTAAGCTAAAGCGTAATCAAGCCTGAAGGAAATCTGAGACAGGGGACTTTCAGGCTTTAGGGTGTAGGTGTTTAGTGTAGTGTTAGAGTTTCGCAGTTCGGGGTGTGGGGCTGTGACCTGACACTCAGCTGAGCCGCTCATATGGGAGTTGCCGAAAATTAGGGGTACCTTATTTTGGGGTACCTATAATAAGGATCCTACTATTTAGGGTACTATATTAGGGTCCCCTATTTTCGGAAACCCCCATATACCACACGATGCTGCAGCAGAGTGCAGATCATACTACATCTACCTTCGTCAGCCACTGCTCTGAAGTCTTCACACTCAAGACATCTAAACACTACAAACCAACAAGCCCTATATAAACCCCCAGCCGTACCCCGGAAACCGTCAGGTATGCGCTTGATAGGGCTGTAATATAGAAGCCTAAACAACTTCCTATTTTATTGTGCGGGCTCCTTATTATACTTAGACTAAAAAGGACCCCTGGGATCCATGTGGTGGGGGCCATGGATGATCCCGCCAATAGTCCCGCCGCACATGCGTCTGGGCCATACTTCCGACCTGCTGCCAAATCCGTTGGTCGTCCGGGAGATGGGAGGCATGAACCTCTTCGAAGCCTTAGGTTAGGACTTAAGTCAAGCTGTTCGTGCCACAACGCAACAACCAAAATTCCACAGGTCCACCACGGCCGGGACACGAGCTGTCATGCTCGCAGAGTTGCAGACAGAGAATGCCCGGCTGCGTGGGGACATCGCGGATGCACGGCAGTCGGAGTCTGTGGCGAAGGCGGAGAGACCACCAAAGAGAACGGGGGCCTCAAGCAGGATGCGCTCGTCCACTACGAGACTCGAGAGAAGCTCCGGAAAGAGAAAGCTGTGTCCTCTGCCAAAGATTAGCAAACAACTGGCCAGGGTGATCGAGGCCAAAGAGCGGGAGCTTTACTCGCTGAAATCGCAGTTTCACGATCCGAAGGGTATTTGTAACTATTAAGGCCCGGGCCTACATTACTGGGTTCTAATCTGGCAGTGTAGGTTTCAGCGTTCGTGGGTTTGGGTGTTGGTTTTAAGGTTGAATGGTTCGGTGTGAGTTTAGGCTTGGTCTAAGACCTGAAAGGACAACTCGGTAACGAGGACATTTGGACAGTTCTCTAAGCCAGGATCCCCTTTTTAGGTCCCTCAAGCAATGCGGCACCCTCATAAAAAGGATCTCACAAGGAACCCTAATTTAGAGAACTGCCCATTCGTGCTGCCTGCATACTGGTGGCGTGGCAGGAAATCTTCAAGAACCGGGAAACCGTGCATCAGGAGCCGGCTTGTGGAGCTTGGGTTGAGGGTTTCGGGTTCAGCGGTTTGACTGATGTTTTTAGGGTGTTATGGTACATCTCAGGTTTTGGCATAGGGTTTTGACAGGGACCTCCTTGATTAAACTAGGGCTTGGGAGTATAGTATACGTAGAAGTAGCAAACCTAAGGAGTAGTATTACTAGCTATTCAGGATTAGCATAAACTATCGCCCCCGGGCACAGGGTTCAGAGTAGGGCTGCCCTGTTTGGAATGTGCAACAACAGAGAATGGACTCTTACTCAGGGTTTCTTTAAGCGTTCATACGGTGTTGGGTAGGAGTCAAGGTTTGGGTTCTGCTGTCAGAGGTCGCCTCATCATTGGCCTAATCACGGATAGTCAGATTGTTAAAGGTACTTGGAGGTTCATGGCTAGTTATAAGTGGAGTTATAAGTCCCCTAATATAGCTTATATCTATAGTTATCCTACTTATAACCCTACTTACAACTNNATGAACCTCCAAGTAGGGTTTAAGGCCTGGTAGGTTTTCGTTACTGGGGCAACTCTGGCTCTCAGTAGAGAGTTTCAGGCCTTGTGCCCAGTTTGAGCTTTGGGATATAGGGTTTAAGTTCCCCACTGGTATCCTATAACTCATTGTGTCTTTAAGAAGCAGCAAGACATAAGGCACGTGCAGGTTGAGGGTATAGGCTCTCTGTATGGATGCTAAGATTTTGGAATCAGCCCCTGCCTTCGGGTTTAGGGTTTAGGGT